TACTGGAATGCAATAGCTATGTTTTAAAAATGAGCTGAAGTAATGAATGCTTTCAAAGTTGTTTTTAACATTTCTTAGTCACAAAAAAAATCTGGTTCAACAAAGATTTTATATTTTGATAACTCTACAGAAAAACTAATATATGAAACAATATTTTATACAAATGTGTTTATCATATTAGAAGTCAGATAGTGGCAGCAATAAACCCTTTTAACACTCACCTGTGCTAACTTAGTGGTTGATTTAGAAACCCTCAGCGTTTTCTTGTTGTAAGCTTTACCATTCATTTTGATCTTGGACACAGACGTTCCCCCAGTTTTTGTCTTAGAATCCCGAGTGATTACTGTCAGCTCAGGAAAGTTTTCCAAAGCGTTCTTTAAACAGAGCATATAAAGAGAAAGGATTATGAAAAATTTAAGAACTGCCAGCAACCTAGACTGCTGATAAATTAGCCACTTTTCTTTGAGAACTTAAAATGCAGCTGATTATAAAACAATTTATTTCTCCATAAAGACCTGATAAAAAATCTTTATCAGATACCTATCAAGCAACAATATACAGTTTGAAAAGCATGACCACCTGTTCTTGGCTGCTGTAACTTTTCAAGATGAGAAGATCCTTTCATTGTATCTCAGGTATCCTCCATGATTCTTTCATTAGAGCAAAAAAGACAGGCTCCAGTAGGAAATTTTTATCTTTTAAAATCCCTTTTGTTGCTTCCCATTCCATTTCTACTCAAGAATCTCTAAAGCCTAGTTACTTGGAGATTCCTAGATACTTAATTCCTACTCAGGCATGGGAAGTCTGTCAATTGTAACAGGGGTTGGATGCCTAAATATCTTCAAGGAACGTGTCCCAGCTTTTGCAAAATATAATATAATTGCATCTTAGCCAACTGTGGAAGGGAAAAGTTTTCACACAGTGAAGCAGACGGTCATTTTAAACAAGCACAAGTTCTCTTCTAACACATGGGGGTGAATTTCATTTCTACCAGCTACAGTTTTGCATTCTTTGACTAAATTATTTGTGTAAATTTGCATACAAATTTGTTGTACAAATACAGAGTTATATTAACAGCTATTTTGAAATAATTCTGTTATGCTATATAATCTGGTCCTCAAGAAAATATACTGAGTTAAATGAATGTATATATCCTTGTATTACAGTCTAGTATGAGAAAAAGAATCGAGCATACAGGAAAACATATTAATGCTACAGCTTAAGGAGTTAAATTTAGACTGTTGGGACAAAACAGAAAGCTGACTAAATTAACTTTTTAATAAATGGTACTTGAATTCAACATCCTCCCCCACCTATATTATTTTAGGACTTTATAGACACTAGCCATTTTTCCCTTTATTAAGAAAATTTCAGTGGAAAGCTATAAAATCTGCTGCACAATGAGATAGTTACATATTGTTAACAGTAACCTCAACTAGCTAACCTGTACATGTACAATAGTCATAGCAGTTGCCTTCAAACTGGAGCAAAACTTCAGCAAGTTTAAATCATTTAATTTTTCTATCCACTGTAACAGCCTTTGTGAAGTTTAACTTTGGCTTTGAATATCAGGGGTTTTGGCCATCTCTGCCTTCCTCTGGTGAATTCCTATTAACCAGAATAGTTTACAGGACAGGAGCACTGACCTAAAACAGATAAATTTGAATTGCAATGAGGAAGAAGAATATATTAGTGATTCCGTATCTCTGAGAGTACAAAAGACAGAAAAGAGTAATAATTACTTCCAAAGAAACTTAGGCAGCTCAGCTAAGTTGCATCATTTACCAGGCTTAAACAACAGCAAAAGTAGTATCTTCTAATTTTGTCTGTATAAATATATAATCCAAAAGATGGGATAAACTGTTAGAATTATAAAGTTATAGGCAAAACTACTGAGCAGATCACTGACCACTAATTCCAGAATCTGATTGGTTAGCTACGCTGTGCTAAAATATCCCATATTAAATGCAATCAATGAAAACGATTATTTTCAACTCATCCACGCTTATCAATGTAGAATATTAAAAATATCCAAACTGATTGCTGCTTATGAACAATAATGATATTTTTCACTTATTGCTTTGGTGTCTCATTCAACTCTACTATCGGAACTCATCATTTGATTGAAGTTGGAACAGAAGCAGACATTCTTATATTAATCATCAGATTGACCTGGATCTTAAGAGGGATCAAACACTTCTGATGACAAATACGTGTTTCATTGTTATCCAGAACCTTAACCCAAGTATGGTACAGGTTGGTACCTTCATACCAGAAACAGAGACATAAAAGGCTTTTTGTCTTGCAGTTTACATCACAAGCAAACTCCTTAGCTATACTTGGAATTCCATTAACTTCTTTGGAACCGTATTTTGAAATCAAGACTTAAGCTAACTTTAGAAATATAATTCATAATCTGTCTTAGAGTATGCACACAGTAAAGTTTTTTTATTATACTAGTTATGAACTCTAACTGAATAAGCAGCTGTAATTGCATACGTTAGTATTACAGAACATCATATTAGTTTTTCCCCTTAAACTGGGGAAAGGCAAAATAAGCTACCTCTAACTTTGTATGTACTGTGAATTTGCACAGAGGGAATCAGCGCATAGTAACTAGAATTCTACAGATTCATATCCTACCTTAATATGGCCTTTCTTCTCTGCACAGACAAGTCTAAAAGAGGCAGCTACAGAAATAACTATTAACACAAAACTTTTACTGCAAAAGAACAACAAAAATGTAGGGTTATGTATCCTTCCTCTGAGGCTCTGTAAATTTTCTGAAAGTCTAAGGCCCTCCACATGCCTTCCAACTGTAAGGAGGGAGCCACAACAAATTCTGTGGAAGTAGGAACAAATTGCGTAGCTGTTGGGAGGACAGCATTACTGACAATAAAAAGGTGGGTAATTAACACGTGTACATACACAGCACCAATAATGGATGAGAAGTCAACTAATCATTCTGCTCCATATCCTGAGTTAAAGAATCAAATGAGTTAGAACTGTTTCACTGCTCAATGATGTTCTCATTCCCAAAACCAAGTCACTTAGTGTCCCACAAGACAATTAGGAATGGGCTGTAAAAAACAAAACAAAACAGAACTTTTAAAGATTTCATGATGTAAATGCAGAACTGGCATGTGAGCTAACCTCTCCTTGTTCCTCATCAAGATCTCAAAAATAAGCAAAAATGAGAGACGGACAAATACTTCTCCAAGAAGTACTGCGGACGTAAGAGGACAGAAGCACTGGCAAAAGAGTAAGTTTGGTCTGATAGAGATAATAGATAGGGCTGCTCCAGCGCTGTTGGTAACAAAACTGTTACAGGAAGAAATAACCATTCTGATTATAGCTGTGGACTAGTTCTCAAACATCTGTGAAATTTACGCTAGTTCGCTTCACTACACTTTTAAAATCTATCAAGAAAAAGAAGCACATAGCTGCTCAGGGGTGTGTAGGGGAAAGGCAGGAACTGCAATGATTGTCCTCCCCATCACTTTCTCTATCTTGAGACAGTAGGGCTGCTCTCTTCCCTGTTCACATCCAGACCTGCTTTTGATTACTGTTTGAAAGTTGCTGTAATACAGGCAGCAGTGATTCGTCCTTTTCCCAAACCTCCACACTGAAGGCAGAAGAAAGAGAGTGCGCAACTGAATTCTTCTCTAACGACGCAGCCCTGGTTTTAAAACACTTTGATCATGGTCTCTATTTCACAGAAGTTCAGACTGTTGCTCCACAGCAAAGCTATTTCATGGAAAAGTTTATCGAGATTTTTAAGCAATATAAATCCTTAACCAAAAGCTCTAAAAAGACAGCAAGCATCATCTTTTGGCAAACTTGAGAAGTTTAAGAGGAAAAATGCTTGAAAACAAACCAAAAAGCACAGAATAAAACAAGACATTTACCTTTGCAGTAGAAACTTCTCCATCATAAAATTTCTCTGAATACCATATACAAGCACTGAATTTGTAGCACCTCTTTCCTTCAAATCCATATTCACTTCTGTTACAAATTTGCGTTCTTGGTTTTCAGTTTTGTCTGCCTGGTATGTATTGAATGACTTGCTTACAACATTATTTTAAAACTTCTAGGAGTTAAAAGATGAATACCTTGAAAGTATGATCCAAGCGTAATTTGGTAAGCAGCCTTTTCCTGTTGTCATTCAGCATGCCATCAATTTTTCTCATGTGAGGCAAAAGTAGCTCATCTAAAAGACAGACAAAAAAGTAACAGTTGATTATTAAGAAGTACATACTAATGAAACTCTTATTCAAGCTATACTTATACCCATTAACATAAAATAGCAAAAGTCAAAAGTTACACAATTTGCTCATAAACTCATTTTAAATATGGGAAGAAAATCTCTTATTTGGATTAGCCTGCTAAAATGCTTTAGATATTATGCAGCTTAATTGATAACTGCAGTCTAGGTCCTTCTCTGACTTTTCTTCACTGAAAGGAAAAAATTAAGAGAGAAAGAGCATTATAGAGAATAAATCTTAGAGACAATTCTAAACAATTTCCTAAATAATCCTCTACCACGCAATAAAATTTGCAGTTTTTGAGAGACAAGTACGTGTTTTTGATACTCTGTTCCACACAACAAGAAGAGATGATCCTCCTGGCATTTACAACAAAAGATATTGTGAAAAGTGCTTACTGATAAAAGTTATCTGACAAACCATTGTAAATTGCAAAACATGTATTTGAACACAGGTGTGTGGCCCTAGATGAAAATTTACGGGTCAGAATAGTACTTTAATTATAAAGTCAATTTCTTTGCTTTCAGTAGGACTACTGACATAATACATGGGAATGAGTCCTTGAGATAAGCGTGTATGCATGCACAAAGCAGACCAAAGAAAGAAAAGGAAAAGTCTAAGAAAATAGTTTTTTTAAAATAGGCAAACTGAATTTAGTATAAAACAACAGTCTGCAATAGAATGGTATGTGAGATGCTTAGTCTTTTGGGGCCTTAAAACTTTATACATTAGTGTTTCATAAAATTTTGAGAAACAGAAAAATTCCAAGTTTTGTCTGCTGGAGTTCACTATGATAAGTCAGTCCATTAGAAATTTTCTCCTTTAAAGAAAGACTGAATAAAATTGTCTTTGAACAGAATTTCAAGGTTTCAGAGTCTAGAAAACAGAACCTTTTATAGCAGTAAGAATCAGAACTACTTAATAGTATTACGGGTGTTTCTCTATGAGAAAGTAAACATGTACTTCAAACATTTTTTAATTTCAAATCAGTATTTTGTAAAATTTTAAAAGATAGTAGCAAAGTAGCAGCAGTAATAAACAGCTCAATTGCGATATTCACTGCACAAGCCTAGGGTAGCAAGCAAACAAAACAGTATTTCTAAATTTGTTTATTCAAAGAGATGGTGTGAATATACATACACATCCTAAACTGTATTGGAATTGCATTAATATTAACAACATAAATATATAAAAAATCCACTGCTGTGTTACCAAAGCCATCCTGAATCTCAGAAAATGAAAATTTTAGGAAATTCAAACACAATGCAAAGTACATAGAGCACTTCAGATGTTGATATATAACTAAAAGTTTGGTGGGCTTCCCCCCTCTTTTTATTTTTTTTTAAATATGTTTGCCTTACTGATGAATAACCTTAAAATGTAATAAAAACAGTACAAAGGTTAAACATACTGTACCATTGCTCTTTTCCAAGGCTTGCATCGTGTCTGGATCCAAGGCAATGCTAACAAGCAATTCCATATAGCTCTTAAAAGTCTCTTTCATAGCTCTCGTATTCAAAAAGCGAGTAACAAAGGGAGCTGGAGGTATAAACTCTGAAAATTAATTGGAAAATATTGACTTTCCTTTCTTAAATATTCAGCAAATATTTCTGTTTTTCAAAACTGAAGGCCTTCATTCTTAAAACACAAGTGACCCCTACTGGTATCCCAGGAAATTATAGCCAATATAATCAGAAATAATATCAAACTACTCATACACCAAACCCAGGTAAGGAAAACAAATCAGATAATAAGTGGTACTAAGTGGTACCTTTTTTTTGTTAAAATGTGTGAATCTATTTGCAATCAGCAGCATTTAGATAATCATATTTTGGAGAATTTAGGCATTTATTTGTCTGTTACTGTAGATCAAGGTCTAGAGAAGGATAATGAATAACTACAGTCAGGCAAAGCAAGTTTCATGTCAATGCAGATATTTCCTAAAACTGCAAAACTCAAAGAAGTTCAAGGGAAAAATATTCAAAAGCACTAATGTCACTTAGGAGCCTGAGCACCATCAGTCGATTGCACCTAACTCTCAAGCTCACAAAAACATGTGAAGTAAATTCTACCAGAAAAATTTTGTGAAATAAATTCTACCAGAAAAGTTTTGTGAAATAAATTCTACCAGAAAAGTAACATAGGCATATTTGTGGTCATTTCCAGGAATCTTTTAGTTTTTGCTAGCCAGCAAGTTTAAACATGCGCACAGAGTAGTCATTAGCACTACTAAGCTTGTTCAGCCTATTAAGGCTTTTTCTTGACTTCACACGTGGTATCAGTATTTTGCAGTAAGTTAGATAGCAAAATCGTTACGCTTTCTCCAATTTCCACGTTTCTCTAGGTGACTATCATTATCAGGTTACTTCAAATTTTAAATATGGACAGATGTACATTTTAATGGTTATTAAGGTAAGTTAGCACAAAAAAATTAATTTAAAGGTAATGCCTTCAACAGAGACACTGTTCCAGGACATCGGTCCTAGTTCATCTACAATAAAGTCACTGAGGCTGACATGCTTTGGAAATCCACCAGTACAACACAAGGATACTGCACTATTTAACTTCAAAGATACAGAAAATAAACAACAAATCGCAAAAAAGACATATGTATATATGCTATCTCAGTTAATATCTATAAAAGGAGTACCTTTCAAAGAGTCATTTCTATTCTGGAAGATGACTGCAAAATTTGTATCTCAAAGTTCCCCGACCCTGTGAATGTCCTTATAGCAAATCTGCTCAGCAGACCTCATTTGAATGTTGGCATTTAGGAAAGCAATGAAACAGCCAAAATTCAACTGCTTTTCCTTCTGAGGTTTTGAAAAACCACAGTAACATCTGAATTCTGCTCAACATCAGCATGCAGACAGGCTTTGCAGGAACGTTATTTTAGACATAACGTGCAGTTGCGATGGAAAATTAATGAACAATTTGATCAATGAGATGTAATCTAAAGTCAAATTAGCTCTTTCTCCTATAACTGTAGCAGTCAGAGTCAAGTAGTAAAAATATACTTCTCTCAATCTTTATTTTTATTGATAAACCGCATTTAAGGCAAATTCTGTTGGACACATTTGTTCATATACAGAGGATAAGTAAAGGCTTTGAAAAATCAATTTTGCATGGCATTGACAGATTTTTTTGCTTTTTTTTTCTGCGACTAGTACGGAAAAATTTGCAAGCTCAAGCAACAGATTTTATAATACTGTCTTCCATTCAGCTCAAACAGGTTTAGATGCTAATGGTAGCACATCACTCACCATCCTCATCACTCTGGGCCTCAGGAGAAGAATCAGACTGGGAAGACGAAAATTCCTCTTTCCATTTCTTCCTTTTCTTTGGTGGTGGTTCAGCCTTTACCTTCGGCTGCTTAGCTTTGGGTTTCACAGAAGAGACTTTTGTTGCTGTTGGTTTTGGTGTTGGAGGATCAGGGGTTTTGTTGTTACTACTGCTAGGCTTGCAATGAATAGTCCTGCAATATTATGAAGATGTTTACCAAAAAATTATCACACAAGTTTTGTCTTTAATAAAAAGAACTACAGGCTTATTTAACCAGAAGATTTTCCCTGTGGATTATATATGCTATTTCAGTGTCACAGGTGACTTTATACATAGTATACTACACATTTTTGACATGATGTTTAACAATTATCCTCAGCTATCTGTGACTAAATAGTAGTACTATAATTTATATCTAGACAGGCACAGAAAGTTTAAATTATGTTAGAAAGAGACAAGTTTAGAACACAGAAGCTATAGGAGACTGGAGCTAATATTTAAACTGACTAATGAAAAATCAGGCTTGACAGACTTGAACAAATAATTGTAATTAATAAGATTCGCCGACAAAGTGATTTTGGAATATTGTATCAATACAAAGAAGAGCCAGAATATCATCCAAGTCAAAATGCAGGACTTTGAGGACCGGAGTAAGAAATCAGACAACTCCTCTCCTTTCTCTTCCCACTACTCAAAATAGGAAAAAGAAAAAGAAATTTAATTTAAAAAAATTTTGTGATACAACCAATCACAGAGTAAGTATCAGCGCAATACATTTTTGAGAATATGCAAGGGAATATAATTCTGGGAGGTGTCAAAAGTAAGGTATTTTTTGTTCAGACGGAAAAGTAATGAAAAATATTGCAGAAACATAGTTAATGTCTTCTGGAATATTGTGAATAATTCTAATCTTCTGCCAAAGATGATTATTTCAAATCCATGAAATGGATGGAGGCAACAGATACTAGGATCATCAGAGGAATGGAAAGACTGCCTTAGAAGTGCAGATTGAAAGAGCTAGATTGATCCAGTTTAGCAAAACAAAGACTGAGATGGGATTTGACTACTCTTCAGAAATACACCATGCAGTACAAACACCAGGGAAGGAGACAAAAGCTGAAAAGCAATACTGAAAGGAGAACAAATGGGTACAGGCAAATCATCTTCATGTTTCAGCTAAAAGACAGGATTGTTTCAGAGCACTGGAGGTTCTGGAACAGTCTTCTGTAGACCAAGAGAAAAAGAACACCAAAATCCTGGCTATTTTAAGTAGAAATTGATCATTTTATACAGCTGATTATATGACGGCATTGCTTTCTTTGAGAGTAGAGAACTAGACTTAAAGCCCAGTCATTTCCTGAATGAAGTACGCTATTATTTTTTTCATTACTATTTGCCAACCTCTAATTTTTTTTTTTAATTTTTGCATGAATGTCAGGTGGGATGTGATATAATAAATCAGAGTTTTGCCTTTCACTATTGTAAATGCTACCTCAGTGATTTTCTTGGGTTATTACAGATCAGGACAACATTTATATGCAAGTAAGTAAGACTATTATTACTACTATTTTGCAAAACAGGTCTCAAATTCAGAGCAACAAAAAGAGAGGAATTGAACGGAATTTAAAAAAGAAAAAATATCTATAATTATTAAAAAGCCACAGAGAGAGAAAAGCTTCAGATATCATCTGGAGTTGTTCAAAGATAAAATGAAATATGCATGACTAGGCTTGTATAATACAGGATCTAGACTCTTTTATGAAAGCACCAAAGGCCAACTCAAAATGCAAAGGCACAAATTCTTTGCAAGTGAACGACAGTGAAAAACTTATAAGAAGTCAGCTGACAGAGGGTATCTCAGAGGTAGCCAGAGTATAGCCAAACTATATTGCTTGCTTTGCATTTTTACATGGTTCTCCATAGTGACAGTTTTATTTGGTTTTTATGTGTCCTTGTTGGTGGTTTAAAAGCAACACTCTTGGAATTACTGATTTTAAGGCATTGTTAGGAGTTACAAGAGATAATTCAAAGTTTCTGGGTGGGGTTAGAAATAAGAAAAGTATAATTTCCTTAGTGTGCAAGGACATACAAAAGAAGGAAAAATATCCTTTTGACAACCAACTTAAACAATGAACTTTTGCTTTTAAATTAACTTTACAAAGTTGAGAATAAAGCATGGTACTTCTAGTTTACTGGGACAGGGTGGTCACTAAACCAACCACAAAGAGCAGACCTAACTTGCACAGTCCACAAAGAAAATGACATATCAGCAGCGCACAAAATTTTAAAATCATTGCACCTGTAGGCTTCTATCAACACGCTGAGTAACAGGGTGAAAGACAAAAAGACATAGCGTGCCGAGCTCTAATACCTCTAAAATGAACGATTTTCACATTCCATAGATTCAAGATAAGGAACTCACCACATGACAGTAATTTATACCACATTTCTTAAAGTAAAAATGTCAGTTCTCAGTTTTCAACTTAATGTTGAATTCAAACATTTTGAATAACTTGTCTTGTTTATTAAAATAGGTGTGTTCTTAATATGAAACCAATACAGTAAAATGAAAAATAAATTGAAATAGAATACCTTGCTGACTGTACAGGCTTGCTTCGTGGTTTTTTTGAACATACTCTGACATATTCCTTTTTGTTTGCATTTTCAATGAACTTCACATACACCCGTTTGTATTTTGTTTTTGCATCCCCAAAATATCCAAGATACTAGGAGAAAAAAAAATTATTATAAATACACAGATGTTTCTAGTAAGTATAATTATTCAGTTTAACAATTATAAATTCAAATACTAAAGATAAAATGTCAGTTTAAAACAATCTGTTTATATGTAAAGGTGAACCATCATGCAGCAGATAAAATTAAAGAGGAATATTCCTAAATAATACTCAAAATAAAAAAAATAAGGCAAGAGATACGTCGGGCTTCATTTTCTGCTATTATTAAGTCCCTCCATGTGCTATCCCAAAAGGATTATCTGCTGGCAAAGGGCTGCCTGTTGAAATTCTGTCCTATCTGTATCCTTCCCACTGTCAAAAGCAGTTGGTTCATGAGCCTGCTTCCACTTACTTTATGCCAGTTGCAAAACCTTGTTCCGTTACCCAGCCTGAATGAGCCCAAAAACCCATGCTAGAAAGCAAGAATCTGCCCTTGAATATATTAGAGAGAATTTACAGTAGGAAAAAGTCAAGAAAACTTTTTGCAGAAGAGCTTGCTAAGAATGTATGCCAGAATTGCATTTTATTTTGCTTCGCAGGTTTTCATTTAGGAAATCATTTCCTATGAGGTTTCATAAGGAATTTTTAGACTCACACTGTTAGTAGCAGCAAACTCTCTCTGTCCATCTCGCACTTCAGGAACAAACTTTTGCAACAAAGCCTTCTGGACTTTCCAAATAGCTGGAGGCTCTTTTCCTGTTTGTAAAGCAACCTGTAAGGAAAAAAAAAAATTGTTAGGCAAAAAGCGTGCTTGTTTTTCTCTCAGAAGTGTATTTGTGCATTTTAAGTTTTGAGTAAGTTACCCAGAGATAAAATGGAAATAAGTAATTCAAATTACAACTACTTCATTATTATGTATCATTTATTTCAGGACAGTAAGACATGAACTACTGTAGGCATAATGCAATCTAAAAACTTTTACCTTCCAGAGTTATGAAGTTGTGCCAGCCAGCTTCACCTACGCTATGATGTCACAACTAGTGCACCATATGCAACTGAGTCACAAAAATATATTTTTAAATACAATATGACACTTTACAATTTTTTATCCTTTTGCTTTATGAAATAACTTAAAAAATAAAAATGTAAGAATTACTCCAAGCAACAGAAAAAGCGTGCAAGCCCCTAAAAATTCTGCAGAAGTAGAAAACCACAGTACCTGTGACATTACAGCATGATGCTTGCAGTAATGTGAAAACAGGTATTTCAGTTCAAACTAGTGAACTGGATGGAGATTATACCTTCAGTTCACCTTTAAACATTAAAAAATTAAGTTTGAATTAATTTTTTTCTTCACATAGTTTGAGAAATCATGTTAAGAATAAATTTGTAATTATGTTAATTATTTATATAAATTAGAATTTATATAAACTATATATTTAAACTATTAACTCATAAAAACTATCTTTTTTTGGAAAACATAAGTACAGCTATATTTTTAAAAGACTGTTTAAATAAAGAAATAAACACCACAAAGATTAAAATTCAAATAAAAATAAACTTCAATAGTTTTACAAGTGACACAAGAAAACATTTTAAAATTGGTAACACTTGTCTTAGATGATAAAGGCATATGAATTAATTTAAAAATTAAGCTCAAGAGGATGAATAGAAACAGGTAATCAAAAGCATCAGAAATTAACGACAGCAATATTGCTGGCCATGACAGCAACAAAAGGAAAGGTAAACAGGCAGAAGAATTTAAGATGGAGAGACAACAAGAAACAATAACCAAAGACAACAAGGAACATTTCCACAAACTCATATGAAAGGCTGTACTAGCTGCATGTGGAAGCTCTTTCTTGTTGGAACAGCAAACTGAACCTCTTCCAGAAAAGACAATTCCAAGATCCTTTGAAAAAGTCTGAGTCATTTCTTCAGCATCTTACTCCTGAAAGCCTATTATCTTCAAAAAAATACAGCAGTCTCAACAGCCCTCGAAAAATCTATGTTTTTCAACATTAAAAAAGCTTTATTGTGACATGGCTTTGGTGTAACTATTTTGATAATTTCAAGTACTAATAGAGGATACCAGCAGAGATTTAGTTTCTTATGTATGTAGTATCAAGATGTTTCATACACACACAAAACATATTTAATATCCACACCAAAAAGGACACCTTTAAGGCACCTTGGCAGCAGCTAGAGAATATTAGAATACAACAGAAAACTAAGATGCAGCCTTTCCCCTTTTGCTAGTTTATTGAGACTAAGTTCATATGGTGGGGTTTTGTTGGTTGTTTTCTATTTTTTATGTATTTGTTTACTCATAGAAAGTATGTGGATTACCTTTAGTGTATCTATATCTTCAATCTTCACTACAAATTCATCACGTTCTCTGTACATGCCCTCTCCTCCACTGTCCGTATTCTCCTCATCAGTACATCCTTCTATTGCAACAGTTGCCTGTATTTTTGCTAACTGGTCTGAAGTCACAGCTTCCTGTTGAGCTACTTTTAGGGAATCAGCCGAACTCATTTTCTCCTGCACATTGACTACAGCAGCAGTTGTCTGTGGAGGTTCCTGCTTTATTACAGCAGTAGTGGTGGCAGCAGCAGCAGTAACAACTGCCACTTTTTCAGCTTCTGAAGTTAAAAAAAAAAAAGTTTTAGTTAAATTATCAAGGATCAGCAACATAAGAAGGGAACTAGATTTATTTTTCTTCTTTTCTGTTACAATACACATACAAGCAACTATCCTAGAAAAAAACTTTCTAGAAGTTAAAATAGGAGCATTAATTTGGCCACAATTAAACCACTAACAAAAACAAAATATTGTAGCTATTTCACCTCTGTTTGTATTAACCTATTGTATCTCTTAACATCTAGAAATAACAATGATGAACGCCTTAGAAAACAATTTGATGGTTATAGACATGATCAACAGGAAATACTGTTGTGCTCTGTGTGACTAAGCAAATGTAAGAGTAAAAAGTTACAACATGGAATCTTGTTTCCAATGTGCTAAGTGAAGCCTTTTTAAAATTGGATTAAGGAAAGAGAAATACAAATGAAAGATAAAAACACTGGTTGTATGACTTTTGGATACTTATCATTTACATCTTGCAATAAGGTAACTGGAAGTTCCAGATTAAAATTTTTGCAACATCCTAATAATTTTACAATATTAACAGCAGCGAGCAATGAAAACTGATGATATAAAACAAAGAAGGGAAAGAACATTCTTCTTCTCTATGCCCTACAGCCGACGGAAACAACTTTTCAAAAAGATTAGTTTTTCTCCTTTGAAAAAATTAGAACTTTTTTCAATATTACCTTATACTCTTTACACATATCTATTTTAACATTGACTTGCTAATTAAAAAAAAAAGTTATATAGGCCATAGTGTAATTACTAATATCATTTAGGAAACTGGCTTCAAAGTTAACGAGGTAGCCGTTGTAGAGCTTTGCTGTGATTTTCACACTGTTCTTGCTGACTTCACTTGAAAGATAGAAAAAGAGAATGCAACTTATATTTTAATAAAAGTACTCCAGAATAAATTATTTAGTATCATATTAACATTGTAGTACAAAATCTATACACCAGATACATGAAGAATCATGGAAAAAAATCGGTAAAACTGCTAAGCCACTTTCTTCTGGATATATTATATCACATTACCACAAATACATTTATTTGTACAGTGAAAGCTATGATGGCTTTAATTAGATATAACATTATTAGTTCCCTAAGCATATTTACAGACTCTCCAGAACAGTACTTAAATGTGGATACACTACTGTAGTATTACCAAAAGATGACTGTCTTTTAAGTCCTTCCATATCTATGCATAAATACAGACAGAAGAGGTGGTAACTAGCAGTTCTATAGCACCAGCATGTAGGAAGAAGCCACTACTAAGCATCTTGTATAGCATACAATCTTGTATACAACAAAACAGGAAGAATAGGAATTCCAGAAATTGATGGTGTAAATATTACATCCTTATGAATAATCAACATAAAGAAAGTACAATAACATTGTAAAAGAAATAATTAAAAATAAAAATACTAATGGAAATGTCTCTGCAACAGAAAATCTTTGAAATATTTCCTTACAAAGATGTACCTAGTATATGGCTTATTAAAGGTATTAAACCATGGCCCTGTCCACTGTTTTGGCTTTCACGGAAAGAGTCACTGATTTCACTTCTGTAACAGATTTTCCTGCTCAAAATGGCTAAACTTATATGATTTAATAGAAAAATCCACAGATCAGAACAGTAATTAAGACGGGATCTCATGTTGAATATGCAGTACAGTAAAATCTTCTTCTGGTATCTTAGGTCTGATTATTGCAATTTAAATAGAAAAATATAATTGCGCGATGTATTTTTCATTAAATCCTGTCATCCCTCCAGTAAAAAGTCTCTCTCTCCTTTAATCTAAAAAAGGCAAAAAATTATTCACAGTATTTTGTTTAGAACCAGCTAATGGGTTGTGGGTGCCGAGAATTTAGGAAACTTCACTTTCTGAAATTAGTTTGGAAGGTAACTGTATCACTCTTGAGTAAGTATAGTAATCTGATTGGTTGAATAGTTCTAATGGCCTACCATAAAAAACAAACTTCATTGAAAAGATCTAGCGAGGGAAAAATATGCTGGATGTTGAAAATACTTCAGAACAAAGCAGCATCAATTAAAAACTATGAACACTGACAAGAAGCCTGTAACGTACAGCATAGATGTAATACAAGTGAAACTAAAAAGCCAGGTACGTGGAAAGCTAAATAGTGCTGTCATCGGCAACGTGGTGGCCAAAAAATGTGCACCCCTCCTCAGTTTTTACTATTTTTTTAAACAATACATCAACAGGAAGCTACAGGACAGGTGGTTAATATTCCTGAAATCAAAGTCAAACTATTCTCGGAAAAGGGTGGCTAAAGTAGTGTTCAGTTTACAAGTGTAAAAATCACGTTCATGAACATGCTCTGTGCAACCCTATCATCAACAGAATGTGCACAGACAACCTCGGAAGAACTCAGCCTTTGCTGATGGCAATTCTTAACGTATTGTCTTGCTTGGATTCAAAACCACTGGACCTGATGGCTTGTTGAAGTTTACAGACAAAAATCATATCTAGCATTTTCAGCCAAAGAAGAGAATTGACGCTATTCCCCTTCTGGGCTAAAATAATTTTATAGCGTTAAAAGTGTCCTACCCAAAGAACGTGTAAAAGTCCATCTACAAATTTTCCAGTTGTGGAAAATGCTAGTTTAGTTCATATTCAGCACAATGTTTGAACAGTACTCTTAAAATCATGGCTTAATAATAGTGATTAAAAACAAATCAAGAAAACCTTCATTTCAACTAAAATCAGCTAATATTATTCTTTGTTTTGTTCCTATTGGCTACAGAAATCTCCTTCAATGTATGTGCTTGTAATAACTGCTTTACCTGATTTATTCTTTCTGTCAGAAGTATCATCCAAAGCTGACAATGCAGTAGAGATGCTCTTCTGAAGATCGTGGTTACCTCCCACAGAATCATCTTCATCAGAAGAAAATGAAGGCAATGTTTCTAAATTTTTCTTAAGTTCTTCATCAGCTTTCTTGGTTGGACTTTCTCCACTAACTTCCACAGCTACAGGTGCTGCTGCTGGCTGAGGCTTTGAAGATGACTGTAGGCAAGGGGCACGAACTATTTGAGTAACTGGTCGCCTAGTCCTGTTGGGCATTCGTACAGCTGGAGCCGAAAACTGTTGCCTCGGCCCAGACTTTAGAAAGTCTAAAAAAGATGCAATAAATCCTGTTTTGACTTCAGGTTGCTTTTCTTCAACTTCTTTGATTTTTTGCCTCATTCTTTCTTGATGCTGGTAAGTATCATAACAACTTTCCGAAACAGGAGAAGAATATGTCAAACAGGAATCGTTTCCTCTTGAATTTTGACGTTTACATTGCCCACTTCTTTTTATCTGTTTCTGAATTGCACTGTCATCTTCTGCAGCATTTTTGTTTTGGCTTTTTCCTTTGCTTTTTTTCTTCTGAAGATTCCCTTGAGCTAAGTCTTGGCATTCTTCTTCAGTTCTGCTAATGGTTCCCTCTCCACCTTGGGGCACAGCTGTTGGCTGCAAAGGACCTTTTGACTGGTTACCTGCTACTGTACCATCATCACAACCCATATTAAAATCATTCTCTGATGTAGCACTTTCTTCACTTAGACTTTTACCACTTGAAACAAATTCTGTCTCTCTTGCATTCAGTGTACCATCAACAGGAACTTCGTTATCTTCTTCAGATTCATGACTGATGCTAGATTGTTTCTTAACTGAAACAACCCCTTGTTCTTGCTCCTCTTGACCAGGGCCAAGGGTGGGAGAGGTCATTCTAGTTGGCACATTTTGATCAGAAGTTTCAATATGTTGTTGATCAAGGTTCACAGTTTTTGTCTGTATTGTTGACACTGGCGTAAGATTTATAGTAATTTGGCCTCCGTTCAGAGAAATATTATTTAGACTTGGTGGCTTTCCAACTAAAGTAGGTGAGGCACTGAAACCAGAAGACACATGTCTTACCTCCATTGCTCGAAACTGTGTTTTAGAATCCTCGCTATTTTCAACAGACTGAATTTCTTCTTCATGAGGTGCTGATTTGGCAAAGTCAGATGGAGTCACTCCACAGGCTGCTGCTGTTGCTGCTAAGATATCATCTACATTTGACAATATATTCCTCTCATCACTGAGAAGCATAGTTTCTGGGAAACATATTGAACTAAGAGAAACAAACTGATTTTTTGAATCATGTTGATTTGTTTGCGTAAAATGATCTTTTGTTGTCAAATGTTGCTGTAGCGGTTTCGAGGACTCAGAAATGTCCATTTTCATTACTTCTGAATTCTGAGCATGAAGCTGCTGCTGAGAATGGCCCCCGTTACTTTGAATAATATGACCATCCATCTGAAGGAATGGATGTGCCACCTGCTGAGGACTCTGTATTCTTTGCACTTGTGGTGTTACCTTTGCTTGTCCTAAACTTGACTGCAGAATTGACTGATGAAGAATCTGTAAGTCACAAGCAGACTCCAGAAGTACCTGTGCACTAGGCAAACACAGCTGATGACTATGTCTCAAAGCATGAGGTTGAACCTGTGGTGGTGTACTAATGACCTGGCCTTGCTGTTCTTGAGCTTTATTGTCATGCACCTTATGCATGAGAGTGTGTTGCTGGTTTAGTTCTTTAGCACTCACATTTACTTGTGTCGTTTGCATTAGATTAGCTGCCTTTTTTATATCATGGCTTATACTGGTGATATGGCCAATATGTTGGGAAAGCTGTTCCACAGAATTAACCATTCTTTCATCTTTTTTTGATCCTTGAAGAGCAAGTCCAACAACTTGATCTTCAAGACGAGAGTTACTTCTGATTACACTTTGAGAATATCTGTCATCTGCTTTTGAGACTCTGTAGGATGCATCCTGAGCACTGATTTCATCATCTGTTAGCCTTTGGGTAGAAGATTCAAGAGAAGCCTGCTGTTGCAATGCTTGCATATCCTGCATTGATAATTCTTCCTCTTGTTTTGATGAAACATACAAATTGGAGTCAGACTTCCTTTTAACATATGATTTTGTTTCTGAGGAAGGCCTATTGTTCTGCATTGTCTGTGAATGAGCTGGAGATGCAAAAGGAGGAGACTGGACAGAGGGTAGAAATTTTTGAGACTGTGGAGAGGAGGATTCTTGTGTCTGAGAGTTCTGAGAAGAATGCAAAGAAATAAAGTTCTGATTAGGACTTGAGGCCGGAAGAGTTTGTATCCGAGGAGAGGCAGAAAAGGGAAGAGAAGGTGATGTTAATGTTAAAGACTGCCCTGACGAATAGCTATCTGAAGGACTAACAGCTGATAAAACTTGTGATTGAGATGAAAAACTAACTTGGGATTGGCTAACTGGAGATAAACCCTGAGAGTGACTAGAAGAATAGCTCTGAGATTGACTGACTGAAGAAAGTTCTCTCGTTTGCCCAGAGTAATTCTCATTTGGAACCGAAGTCAATACCTGTTGATCTGAGGAGTAACTTAGTGTTTGACTGTCAGAAGTAATAGTTTGTGATTGCCCAGAAAAAGTCAATGTTTTATACAATGAGGGCAGCTTCTCAATCTTGCTAGATGAGAAATCCTGTGAGTGACTGACAGGTGGCACATTCTGAGCCTGGGATGAAACATAGTTTTGGGACTGGCTGACTGACAAGAGACTGGGGAGCTGTGCTGTAGAATAGATCTGTGCTTGGCCTGTAATTACAGAACTCTGGTTTTGTGCAGTTTTGGGATAGCTTTGTGTCTGCACAGTAGGAGCTACACTTTGAGGTTTGGGGGTCTTTGTTGACCTTGGAGGCTGCTTTGTGGAACAGTTTTTCACTTTTGCTGTGGAAACAGATGGAAAACCAGGTGATGGAATTGCAGATGTATAAGACTGAGCAAGTTCCACTGTGACTTGAGAAGTCTTCTGCTGTGGTCCTCCATTGCTCACCTGAGTAACATCTCCAGCTGGACTACACGATAATGCTGAGTGCCTAGATGTATCCTGAAAATTAACTCCACTTGTACTCGTTAAATAGCTGTGTAAGGAATGCTGTGAAACAGTCAGTTGAGCCTGAACAGACTGAGTACTTGAAGGCCGCTGATGGTGTTTAATAACACTACATTCTCGCTGAAGTGCTCTGTCAATAGAAGCAGTGGAACCAGTAAAGACAGATGTGCTGTATGCCTGAGAAACCTGCTGAGCTCCTCCAAGGGTTGAAGGTAACAAACTAAACTGAGGCTGCAAAAGATGAGGTGCGGATTCTTGAGCAGAACGGTATGTTGATGATTGAGGTGGTATACTTGTACTTAAAACAGAACTGCCTAGGCGCTCAAATGTCAAAGCAGTTGGAACAGTGCCTTGTGATGTTTTTATTTGTAATAAGGGATCATGGGTAGTTAAGAGACCATTTGATGTAGCACTGAAAGTAGTATCTTGAAGAGTAAGAGATGGAGTAGTAGCAAAGTTCCTACTGCTGAAAGTGTTGGGATGCTGATAAGCTGATAAAGCAGATGTTGGTGGAAACGTTCCAGAGGTTGGCAATGCTCCAGTAACAAATAGTTCTGTGGCTGTTGAGGAATGCATACCTGGAAAAAACAAAAACAAAACAAAAAAGGGAAAAAGAATATAATAAAGCTTTACAAGTTACAACACCCTGCATTTCTTTAACTTATTTTCTTGTAAGATCTTGCAGCATTTACAAATATTACCTTCTTCAGAATCACCACCCTTTTTCAACAACAATAAAAACACTGAAAGGCATTTATTGGGGCTAACTTTCAAACTGGAACTACAATTTGGTAAGAATCTGTGCCTGCACTGAATTGCCAAGGGGAAAATAATCACCACCCTAACATGCAAATTTCGAATGAAAAATTGTACAAGAATAATTCTGCTTCGAAACTGAAAGCTCTTTATTCGTTCTTATTTCAGTTTAAAAAGACAGTTCATACTAAGGACAACTGATCGAAAGCTCAAGACCCCTTCAATATGCAATAAAAAGGCAAAATTACACTATACCTCTTGTAATAATTAAAGGAGCAATTCCATCTCTTGCATTTACCTCGATACTTTTACAGCTCATCACATTACGTGAAACAGCATTCAGAGCATACAGTGAAATAACAGCATATATACTTTGCAACAACTATTTTTAAATGGTGGGCTTTGACTTCTAATAAAAAGGGTAGAAATATGATTTGTATGTTGAAACACTGGAGTACAGGATATCCACAGTTAACAACTATTCACAGTGTGATTAAAAACTACCCAACTGAAACAGGTAATATTACTTACTTGTATCCTGGCATTGCTATGTCATCTTTGCTTAAAAAAGATTTACTAATAGAACATATTACTTCAACTGAAAAGCATGAAATTCTCTCAGTGGTTTTGGGAGGTGCAAGATGGGACCTACAGCAGTGATCTGCATCTTGTGACCTGCAGGTACTGGTGAAGTTTGTGTACTATTTCTAAAGAGTCTATAAAAGAAAATGAGATAAGCTTAAACTTGCTGCATAGCAATTTGCATTTCTAGTGGGAAATTTGCAGGGATCCACAAATCAAAAAGAGAATTAAAATCACTAACGTAATTTGACCATTTCAAATTCTTCTTGGATACTCAAAACAGCTTTTAGCATTGGATTAGATTTAAGGACAAAAAAAATTACTGAAAAGGCTCATTTTGACACAAATACCTCAGTAAAAAAAAGAGTTCAATTTTCATTTGAAAAATATATTAAGACTTCTTAAACTGATTGCAACTTACATCACTAAATTATTTGAAAGCGTCAGATGAAGCTGTGAAAGTCTTTGTTCCCCCTCTCAGTTCAAGACATATACTGATAATGAAGAGATAAGATACTGAAGGAATGACATGGTATTTTCACAAGTCAACAATAAGGTCCGAGTAAGGAAGCACAAGCAGTGCTTTAATGCATTCATTCTGTATTTAAAAAAAATATATCATGTATATCTGGGTTCTTTTCTGATCCCTACCGCTAAAAAAAACGTAGGGGCATCCAGAGGCTCAGTAGCAAGGATCTACGAAAGGGAACAATTTATTTCCATTTTAACTGTGGACGTCTAGGAGTTCTCATCTAACATGTACTTTTTCTTTCCCTTTTAGGAATTAAAACCCTTCCTACTACACATGGAAGTTCTTATACCAGACAAGCAGACAGTCAGTCACAGAAGCACTGCTTCTGGTAGACCTGGTGGGGTTTTTTTATTTGATTTTTGAAGAGGAGCAGACAAAGTATATGGTGAAGAAAACAAGCTGTGTGCACAACCTCCCCACTAACCTAAGAAATCAGAACATAGCTAACACATCCCACACATACAAGGCAGACTTGATAGGGGAATGTTAACAAACATGCTTTTCTGCTTTTTCCCCCAAAATTGGCAGTTGTAGGGTTCAGAGAAAAAGTATACAGTCCCTCCTAAGGAGGTCATCTTGAAAGGATAAGTCAGAGTATTTGTTTTTCCTTTTCAAAAAAGTCTGTAGGACACAAAGCTCCTTAAAGATACTTTGGAGCATTGAGGGATATAGAAAAGCAGCAAAAGTATGAAAGGAAAATAGAAAGCTCAGAGTAACATTGAGAACAGGTTTATGGATGAGTTCTTAGTAATGAGTAGTCTCAATCACTGGGTTCAACACGAAACCCAACCCACAGCATGTCTCCCATTCTTCAGAGTTCACTGTGATAGGTAGGCTGCAAAGGAGAAAATGCTAGGAGGAAGAGGGGAAAAAAAGATTTCTTCCTAGCTGACAATCTGATGTGAGGATGGGTCATTAAAACTTTAACACACCACTGGTTATTCAGATTTAGACAGATTAATAGCTTCTTCATCTGTGCTCCCATGTATCTGCTCTTTTGTTCACCTAAATTGTCCACAGTGAATGAAAAGCAGGTGTCTTTCAACATCCTCTTTTATCAGCTTTTTGGGTTGATCTTCATGGAACGCAGCTTCACATTACATTTAACAGTAAGTGCAAGCTGTCAAAAAAAGGATTGTTAAACTCTTTCTTCTCCCTACCTTATGCCTCCTCCCCTGAATCAGAACTACCAATCATACAGCTACTTCGAGAGACAGATCAGCTTGCTGATACAGTGGAAAATCATACCACTAAAGAAAGAAAAAATAAATGTTTTCCATCAGATCTGTAAATGGATCTGATTCACTGCACAGCTAGCTGCACAATCACTGCATAAGATTCAGGATGACTTGAAACTACCCATAGATGCAGGCGCATACTCTTATCTTGGTATGGCTGTCTGCAGCAAGCTCATAATATGGAAAGTTTCCTGCTCAGTACAGATGGCTTAACTGATCAAGAGGTATGGTGGGTACAGTAGGCAGTCAGCCTGCCAGAAAAGAGGACACATCTGTTTGTCGATTAGACCATTTATTTTTATGCAACGCGCATCTGGAACCCTCTCTTTTGAGAACACCTTGCTCATTATTTTTACGTACCAAGAGGCTGAGGTTATCCACAAACTTTTAGTAGTAATATCACAGAAGAACTATGACAGGGAGTGGAGTTTGAGAATCAAAGGTTTGTTAGGATGTCAAAGTAGTCTACCAGAACATGTTTATGGTGTTAGTGAGACTAATTCCAAATAGAAGGAGGGAGAAGAAATTTGACTCATCAGACAAAATAATATCCTATACCTCTAAATCCCATCTAAACAATTGAAGCTTCTGCTCAGAGATGAGTAATATTCCACTGATTTTGAGATTTTAAATACTGAGATGGAAAAGAACTGGAAGAGATGCAGCTTTTTCAGTTAGTCAGGATATTTTTATTATAACCCCACCCCCAAAACATTCAATACAATCATGATGAATTTTATTTCAAGGGAAATTTTTCACCTGTCTGCCAGGAAGGAGCCCTGAATTGCGGTAAAAGGGTAGATCCTGAAGAGGCTGCCTGAGCGGTACGAGACTCAATTGCAGAAAGAAAATTCATTACTGAAGTTTCCTTAGTGTTACTTCCAGCGCTGTGCATACTGCTATCAAATATTCCCGAAAGACCTAGATGGAAGCAGGGCAGGGGGGACAAAACAAATAGACAATTCAGATGAACTTACTATAAAAATTGCAATCAAATGACAAGGACATACATTTATAATCCACTAAAAATAATCTATGAAACGTGAGCAATACTATTAAACTACAGAGATTTTTCACTGTTCTAACAGCTTTACAGCAATGCATCTGTAAATTGAAACTTGAGGACACATTTTAAAAGCTATTATTAAATGGAAGTCAAATACGATGCTTTGAAACAATATTTCAGTTCACCAGTACAAACTCTCCCTTCATCTGAGGATTCCCTATTCCACTTCTTACATGAACTACTTACACATTACAGAAATCCTTCAAAAATAGGTTTGACTTCTCTGTATTTTTCCCCTTTGGGGAGCTTGTAATAGTTTGGATAGCTCTGCGGGACCAAGGCCAACATACGAAAAGGATTTTTGGTTGCATTGCCTGCTTCAACAACTGTTGCTCATACCCTTCAAGGGCAGGGGGCTAGGTGGAAACCACTGGTTAGATCACATAGTTTGAGTAACTGAGTTTAGGTCAAGACTGCAGGGTCTGCTCTCTGAAACATCCCTTGCAGTTCAGACCCTCCTTTGTCTTTCTCAAGGACCTGGCCAAGCCACCACAGATTCCTTCCAGCTCATGAGCTCAAATATCTTTTCCTTGGAAACTGGGTTGCAAAGTGAGGGGGAAGAGGTTGTGCCCTGCCTTGTGCTGACAGGGAGATAGGATATCACCAGGATCACAGACAGATCCTGTTGTAGATCTAACATAGCTTAACCTGCTACTACATTTAAAGTAAATTTTAACTTCCTCCACAACACTACATCTTAGTTTGCACATGTAAGCACTAGCAACGGTGTGTTCCAACTAGTATTATTTTTCCTATCTGCTACAGACTAAAAGAACTGGCACAATTTCAGCAGCTAGCTTTGAGACATGCTTAACATTAGGCCCTTAGGCATAGGCCAAAATCTGAAAAGCTGTATTTCAAAGGAAAAAACGCAGGAGTTTCTTCAAAAAACCAATAATTTATAAAGCATAACACTCCCTTATATCTTCCTTTTACAACATGCATTTATGACAATATTTTGACAAAAGCCAGCACGTAATTGTTATCCCTCTACTACAAACTCAGCTTTTCTAACAGTATTTGCCATCATCTGCATAACAAATTCCCTCCAACTATAAAATCCATTAACTCAAAATTATGTAACAGTTTCTATTTCAGCTATTACAGCTGAAATCTCATGATTTGGGCAGTTACCAGTAGGATGGTGTGTAGCAGAGTATCCAGGAAGTTGATGAGAAGATGTATATGTCTGTCTGTGAAGAAGATCTGTTTCTGAATGTGATGGATGTCCTCCTCCATAGCTTAGGCTGAGAAAAAAATTAAACATTATGAACAAAAACATACAGCTAGAGAAACAAGGTATAACTATGAAACCCTGAGAAGGAGCCACAAATTTTTAGAAATAAAGAAAAAATAAGCCTAAGATCTGAAATATGTGATTGTGCCAGGATGTACTAAAGATGTTTTATATATATGAAACCTGACTAGCCAAAGAAGTCAGTTCATCACAGAAAATTCTATAAAGGAGTAGTTCAGAAAAGGTGATGTTTCTTTAGCTCAACTATCAGAAACACTGAATGGACACATTCTGTAATGATTTACTGATTTAAAATCTGCACAAGTAGACAATTACAAATACATGCCCCTTCTAACATTTCAAGTTTGGACTCTATTTAAACTTTCAGGACCACATTTAATACAAAGGCTAGAATCACTAGGAAGCTTCAGGAACAATAGTGTGTTTTAAAGATTCTGTTCATTTCAGTATGCTTATATGATAATTAATAATTGATAATGAGAGCAATAGCAAGTGACAAATCTCATTCTTCAGGCCTCCTAGCATTAAATGCACATTAATGGTCTACAGTTTTTATTTAAAATTTTGAAAGGAGTCATCTGTTTTTACATGATGTTTTAATCAGGCTTAATGGAAGCAAACTGAAGATATATAGTGTCCGTCTGTGTTCATGCAAAAGCAATAATGTAGAAAATAAAGAAATGCAAAGTTAATATCAAGCAACATTAAGAACTGGCCAAAAGTACTAATGTTTTCCAACTCAAAATACAGAAAAGGAAGGGAGAAGCAAAACAAAATCCCAAAGCTTTCAAGCTTCCACAGATTCAGGTCTGTATGATCTGCAGAGCTGCTAGTGGATCTAATTTGCCAGTTATAGTATTGTTAACTCCAAACATTCAGAAGTCAGAACCAAAAAAGCCAACTCCTATCAAATGGAAAAAAATGAAAGCCAATGTGATTGAATAATTGTATTCTACCTTCTTTTTTATTGCCTTCTGGATGTTAAGTTTCAAGGCAGCTGCCACTTACTCCAACGCGCATGTGAGAGTGCTTTAAGTTCAAAATTCAATTGTAAGCAGATGCAACCCCCCACACCAAAACACCACCAAACCCACTGCTGCCCCTGTCTCCCTGCTGACTGCTACAAGGGAGACTTCACGTACCTTCTTTGATCCCCTGGGATGAGGGGGCAGTCACTCAGCATAAGGGAAAAATTGAACATTTGATGCCAGGAATCACGACATCATGGGAAACTTTTATAGAAGTCACCAAATAATAAAAAAATTGGCAACATTACTGCATTTGCTTCATTTTCATTAAGATGACAAGAAGAGGCAGAGCAGATCTGATGAGCCAGGAAGAGTACTGCGACCTCTACACTTGCCTATAAGGGACACTAGGTTTTAGACTTCTAAATAAATTTCTGTGTCTGAGATCTATTAACAGTGGATCCATTTTCCATTTTATCTACTTATAGCATAGGAGTGCTCATAATAGTCAGCATGCCAAACTAAGGAAGGAATTAAAATTCTTTAAAAAACAAGCAAGCAAAAAAGCAGCTGTTGCATTTATCAGTTGCACTCACTACCTGGCACTTCAACAACTATTCACAGTAATAACTACCTTTTAGAGAATCATCAAATCTTAATTCAGTGCGGGCATATCAACGTGCTTATCTTATTGAGCATAAGTTTTTGCATGGTTCAACACTGTGACCAGCAACTGACTGCATAACCATATGATACGGTGGGTTACCTTTCAGTCTAGCATATTAAAACTTTTAACGTTTCTAGACAAAAATACAGCTGCGTTCTGCACGTAACACACAAGACACATTTGCACAAGACATATAATAAAGCTAATTTAAATGCAAGTTATTTTTACAAGATACATTTTTTAAGTTAAGGTGGAGGCTTTTTTTAAATAGACAAATTTGCACAAATAGAAAAGCTAGATAAACCTTAGCACATATAATGTCTTCTTTACATTTAAAAAAATAAACATATGCTACACCTGAAAATACTTTTCTAACTGATCCTCAATTCCAGTTGGGCATGTATTATTAGCAAGAATTATCCTTGTGACACAAATGCTGATCTTTTGCAATCTTTTCATCTGTAAGAAATTTCCATTAAGTGAAGTTTTTTTTAAAGCATTTACATACGTAAAAGTATGTGTTGCTGATTTTCCCCTCATTTGTGTTTAAAATATAAACTAAGAAGTCATACTAAATATATCACTTACATTGAGAAACATCTTTTTTTTTCCCCGTTTCATATATTTTTAGGAAAAGGGAGGCACATTTAGCTTTGCAGTGATGTTCTAGGCTATGCTTTGTGGCAAATATCCTTCCCAAGGAGGTGCAAGACCCACAAAGGTTGGTACAGACTACATCAAATAATTTTGCATCATCCCTTCTCTTGCATTGTATAGTAGAAGTTCACATTCAAAAAGTGCATGGATTTCTATTCAAAATTAACTCCTGGGAAATTTGGGGATTTAAAAATGACTATTTTTAAAATTTAAAATGTGTATTTATTCAGGTCCTTTGGTGGAGACTGATTCATTTCCCCCTCTTTACTCCCTTGCAATAAACCCCTTTCTTACAGTCTGCTCAAAGACTACAAGACAGGCTAACACATTAGCTTGTAGATGTGAGGTGGAACATTCTGAATGATTACTCTTGCAAAACAGATGCAGACACAGCCTTCATAACAAAGAGAAAATTAACATTGGATACAAAATAACCTTTAGCTCTAGTATCTCAAAAATCTTGTTAGTTAATAGAATCTCAAAATTCTAAGAGAGCTACTTGACTACAGTAAGGCTTCTATTCATATCTATCATGAGATTATTCAAAGTATCTGATGATGGTTGCTATGTTTTTTCCCCAAACTCCCAGGTCATAGTTAATGCAACCGCAATCTCAAAAATGAATCTGTCTTTCAATGAAAACATTGTACATTGTATTTATTAGAGCAGTTAATTGTTTATTGTATAATTACTTGTTGCTGGAATGTAGATTCTTATCTCAAAAAACCTGCATATATGCCTTCAGTTTACATAAACTTATCCTAAACACAAGCACAACAAGCTGAAAGAAGATTACAGCCTCAGGGTTTCTTTTTATAAAATTTAGTTTTTAAACAGATGAACTTACTAAACATGTAATTCACACATCAAAAATAAATTAAGTGTAGCAAATAACATTATAGCTATCTAGTCATTTGTACTTTGTTTTCTAACTTCTTGTTAAAATTCCACAGGAGCTCTCACTTGTTCTGAAATATTGAGTTACTGAAGATAGACATTAATATTATTTGGTACTTTGTTGTTTGTTATGATTAGTTACTATAGTGTTCCAAAAATATTTTGCCCTTATCCAGATATACCACCGTAATTTCTCATTTCTATTGGCATAATTAACTGCACAATGGAGTGATAACTGCTAGAAAGTGCTACGGAAGGCATACAAATTGCGAACACAGTTTCCTCCGAAAGTATTTTTCATTGAAAAGGTCCATTCAATTTTAATATAATGTTTTAATTAAGTGTCCTTTCAGAGATGTCCTATGAAGAGCTATCATTATTTGTTCTTGCTGTAATGATGTGATCAAAAAAATCCTTTGCCAATGAAAGTGAAATGTCTCAAGTTAATCTGTTCTGTTTTGTTTTTTTTGAGCTATATCAGTTGGTCCACCAGAAGGTAGTACTTCTTCCAATAACATTTCTGGCAGAGAATTTATAGTCTTCACACTTGTTACTAAAATATCTCGATCTTCATTTAACAATCCTTGCTGTTTCCCAGTAGCAATTCCTTCCTGATTCAACTGTTCAGGTATCTGTTTATATTGCTATTATTGAGACAATTTATTTCCACAGCATTCTTCAATATAATATTTTAATATGAATTTAGGTCTCCAAATGCAGTAGGTTAATGAGTTATATTGCACTAGCCACCCTCCTCACCTGCCAACACAATTATGTGAGTTGCGCTTTATACAACTGATAGATTTGTTTCCCAATTTCAAACTCACACAGAAGCATCACTTCTACAAGGAAACAAAATCTAGTTGCAATAAGCATTGAACATATAGGCAGCTTTTATTTTTAATTTTCTCATTTTCCTCAAATATCCTTGCTTTCCTAAGCATCCATACAGAATTAAATACAGAAACAAAAACACCTCAAATATGTATTTTAGATTACCGAACATTTGATCCAAAAAGCACTGTTATATAGGAAAAGGTTGGGTTTTTTTAATCTTTCTACTTAATATTCCAGACCAATTTTCGTTAGAACCTGGCAATTATTAAGAATTTTTTTTTTTAAAGATTTAGTAACTGAGTAGCTATTAATTTAGGCAAATGTATAACGCTTAGATGAAAAATTGGCCAGGACTTTTAACAAGCAAATATATTTCTGAGTGCAAGAATTTCTTTTGCTCTTTAGCATTTATAACTTCTGCCTCTTAAAAAAAACCTTTAAAATCACATAGCATTTGCAAAATATTCCAACTGTAAAGGCTAAGCTGAAAGTGAAACTAGACACCTAAAAGATAAGTAGTTACACAGGAAACTCCTACTGGTCCCAATAAAACTCAGGCTCCTAATGCTGATGTGTTTACAGAGACAGAAAGCTCCCCCCACCCCCAGTCTCAGACTCCCATTATGTCAATAAAATGCAACAAAGCTCTCTAACATGCCTGAAATCCAAAATAATCAAATGGAACAAAACAAAAAGCAACAACCCAGCATGCACTATACAAATGATCAGATTTGAAGCAAATGAGAGTAACAATTTGATTTTATTTTTGGGCAGCCTATTTCCAATTTAATGAAAATAAGAAGTCAGCTCCCTGACTCTTGTGAGAAGATAGACTCCTGTGTTACTAGGCATACAATCTGTTTTTAATTAAACTACCAAAACAGAGATAACAATACAGTGATATCCTCATGCTGACAAGGAAATGCCTAAAAACTGATACTTTGCTTTTTACCTGTCTTGAGATACATGTTAAAGATAGGAAGTATTACTCACATTATTCTAATGAAACTATTATATTAAGAAAATATAGACGTTTAACCTTTTACCTAAAAGCTTACACACTTTGAAAAGGAATCTCTCTTCAACTACCTCTTCAACTATCCAATAGTCTCTTCTACTTAGAGGCTGAAAGCAAAGCCTTATAAGATCCAAATACCACACAACACGCAAACTCATTTCCAAATATTAAAAACACTCTTCTTTTTAAATATAAGAAAGTTACATGTAAGCTTGTATGCAGCTTACACCTCTTTTCAGCCAGCATGTTTCATTTTACACATGTAAAATACAGTTGCAGGTTGCATTAACTGTTGGCAGCTTCATACCTAGAATTGTTTTGATATCAGATTTAATATTAGATTTGTTTAAATATTTATCTTTGTTAATTTTCCTTTATTCACAGCATCTCATGGAGGCAGAAAGGAAAAGCATTACTTGGGAACATTACCTGAATGTAATATAGATGAAATGGAAGACAAATGAAAAATCACAGAGGCTTTTAGCTAGCATGCACTTCAGGTGCTCATTCTATCAGCAGCCAAGTTCACAGTAGCTTGCTATAGTCTAATTACAATGTAATTCAAAAACTAGAGTTAATTTATTCTCCAGTTCAAAATAAAATTAAAAAACAATATTATAGGTATATATATTTCATCTGAAAATGGGTTTGGTCTTTTGTTTAAAAAAAAAAAAAGACTCTAAGAAAGCAAAATCATAAAGGACAGAGATTTGCCTAGAATGAAAGCTGTTACGTAAACCAGTTTAGCACAGTTAACAGTATTAAAATAGTCCTGTCCAGCTGATAGGCCAACTCACTTCTGAAACTTTAAAAGCAAGCCTATACAGAGAACAGAAATTCCAATAAAAGGAAAATAGACTCTTTGTTCAGGCCAGACATTTGTCTTCTGACTCATTTCAGTGCAAAATATTTATTTAGAAACATATATACCATGTGATTTTTCACCTATATTTTCTAGTTTTACACAGAAAAAAAAGGACACTGCAAGAACAAATATGGTTCAAAGCTTCAAAATGTCAGCAGGTTCATGAAAAATTTGAGACGATATTTCTCTTCAGGATAGAATGTTTAAAAAAATGGGAAATATAGAATTAGACTCCAATCATATGGCATTAGAGCAATATATACAACAGCATTATTTTATCTATAATCTCATCTCTGTTGGTTATGCCATACTCTTATCTTTTAAAGCCATTATAGACCATATATTTAATCTAGAATGTGTAAAATCATAATATATCAAAGACAATCACCCTTCACTCTTTCATTAAAGATGAAGTTAAGTTCCTACTTCTGCTCTTATGTCAGCAAAAGCATAACTGAGACCTCCACGACTTGGAGGGAAGATCGCCTCAAGGTACTTGTGAGTGGAAATGCTCATCATTGCTTTGCTTTCCAAGAGCTTCTAAGAAAGAAATTTGGAGGTAGAAATGAATTATATACAGTGAATTGGCTGAATGAGCAAAATTTCATGCTGTTTATGTGATTCTTTAACTGAATACATGTCATATCTTAAGAAAAGAAAAAGATTTCATGGCAAAAAAGGTCTGTCTCCATTTTATTTCCATGTAAATGTGCCTGAACACTGTATACTTGATCTTTGAAAGAAAGAAGGGGAAAGGGGGAAAAAGGGGAAAGGGGGAAAAAGGGGAAAGGGGGAAAAAGGGGAAAGGGGGAAAAAGGGGAAAGGGGGAAAAAGGGGAAAGGGGGAAAAAGGGGAAAGGGGGAAAAAGGGGAAAGGGGGAAAAAGGGGAAAGGGGGAAAAAGGGGAAAGGGGGAAAAAGGGGAAAGGGGGAAAAAGGGGAAAGGGGGAAAAAGGGGAAAGGGGGAAAAAGGGGAAAGGGGGAAAAAGGGGAAAGGGGGAAAAAGGGGAAAGGGGGAAAAAGGGGAAAGGGGGAAAAAGGGGAAAGGGGGAAAAAGGGGAAAGGGGGAAAAAGGGGAAAGGGGGAAAAAGGGGAAAGGGGGAAAAAGGGGAAAGGGGGAAAAAGGGGAAAGGGGGAAAAAGGGGAAAGGGGGAAAAAGGGGAAAGGGGGAAAAAGGGGAAAGGGGGAAAAAGGGGAAAGGGGGAAAAAGGGGAAAGGGGGAAAAAGGGGAAAGGGGGAAAAAGGGGAAAGGGGGAAAAAGGGGAAAGGGGGAAAAAGGGGAAAGGGGGAAAAAGGGGAAAGGGGGAAAAAGGGGAAAGGGGGAAAAAGGGGAAAGGGGGAAAAAGGGGAAAGGGGGAAAAAGGGGAAAGGGGGAAAAAGGGGAAAGGGGGAAAAAGGGGAAAGGGGGAAAAAGGGGAAAGGGGGAAAAAGGGGAAAGGGGGAAAAAGGGGAAAGGGGGAAAAAGGGGAAAGGGGGAAAAAGGGGAAAGGGGGAAAAAGGGGAAAGGGGGAAAAAGGGGAAAGGGGGAAAAAGGGGAAAGGGGGAAAAAGGGGAAAGGGGGAAAAAGGGGAAAGGGGGAAAAAGGGGAACCCTTAAGGAAAGCCTAAATAGTCTTAGTGGTACTTCAATACCAGAATGCAAGTGCTGGCTTGTCTGATTTAAGTAACCTGCAGAGTTCTTAATAAAAAAGACAATTATAATTCCATTTTCACAAAATCACTTAAACTATGTGTTGAAACTATGTATGTGAAAATTAAAGTTCTGATAGAAATGAGCTATTTACAAACTTCAGCTGAAGAGACACAAAGACTTGACAAACTGCCATAGAATCATTTAATTTTTTTAAGATGCACAATCTAAATTATCTTTAGCTACTGTTATCTATGTTTGAAATGCAGTATATTTAACAAAACTCATTAACTTTTTTTTCTTCATCAAAATTGGCAAAAATCACTACCACTTCTCTTGGCTTTGACTAAAATTCTCAGTAACCTAATCAAAGCAACTTTAAAAAAAATGGGTTTACAAAACCAGATACACTACAAAAAGCAAGAAGAATTCAAGAGGCATAAGATATTTTAAATTAAAGTTACAATACTAGATGAACTACTTCAAATTCCCAAAGCCCTTTAATGGGAGGCGTGAAACTCCAAAGCTACCAGACCACTAGCAGGAACCCAGAGGCTGAGGGAGCACCCTGGGTTTCCCAGGCTCTGTCCT